AAAATACACAGAAATGATTATTTCACCAAAAAAAAAGTATAATGTATAATCTGCAAAGCATGCTGGGAAATGCTGTGGTCTCTGCTGTCAATCATTTTTGGTTCATATATTTTTTTCAATACAACTCCTAAATGCACAAATAACACAACAAAATAAATATATATGAAGTACAATACTTCACTATTTTGTCAATGTATTTCTATGATTTCTATTTCTATGATATTTATAGTTTTGTTGTGGTTTTGAGATGTGTTTGTCTTTAATGTTTTGCCCCTCTGTCTGTTCGAAACAGGTTGTCATTCTTTTCTTCCATTTACTCATTGAATTTTAGGATACCAGTAAAAAGTATTAAAATACAACTATATGGAGTAATTTGTGGTTTGTGTATATTGAATTAAAAAGAAGAAACACCAAAAGTCTGTTATGGTGAAGAGGTGTTAGACTTATTAAGCTTTGCAAATTTTTATTTTTTGTCTTGTAAATTAAAGCGGGGGAGTCATTAGTGTGTCATTGTTTACAAACAAGCGTCTAGCCTTTGCGTTTTACTGTGTTGTTATTGTCGCTTGGGACTCAATTCCCGTCCGTGCGTAGATGACGACCCTCCCGCTTTAAGGTACTGTAAAATGACTAATTTTCACTGGGTTTAAATTTCACTGATTTACCATTTCAGGCATATTCAGTGGGTTTTAAATTCACGGTTTCGTCATTTAGATAATGTGTTCTATGCTAAATTTTACATATTCACTGGGTTTTAATTTAGCACATTTTCCAGTCAGCGAAATAAGCAAAATTAAAACCCAGTGAATAATTACCCCATTTACAGTAGATAATAAAATATCTATGAATATACCCTTTGCTTATAGATATGCTATATTTTGTGTTGTTTATACGTAACTTGACAACAGAAAGTGCCCTGCTTGCTGCTAAGCCTCAAATGATGACATGACATATTTAAACAATGTTTCACCTAATTAAAGGGCGGTAGTCGTCGCGCCACACATTCGCGAGATATGGGTCTCATATAAACAAAGATGGCGACTTTGACTGTTGTGCAAATCAACAAGTACAAACTGAGACGTTACCAAGCTTTAATTAAGTATTTTATTAGGTGTTTAGAAGGTATAGAATGAGTCATGAGCGGTAATTAGTGCAAGTCGCGCCCAGGTTGAACCTCATACTTATGATTTCCATTAAAAGAGCGCATTGGATTAAGGGAAAATCAATGTTTATCAACACAAATGTCGCACATGCTCAGTGCGACGACCACCGCCCTTTAATATATGCAGTTTAAGTCCAAAATAGATTTAGACATTCAACTATAAAAACAATATACCTTTCACCTCGTTGTTCAATCTTGTTACTACATTATTAATGAGATCTTAAAGTATATGTGTACCAAATTGATTCCCAGTGCACCTTGGGGTTTTGTTAGATATTGGTGGAACACCCATCCATCCGTACAAACAGGCTTTGGTATGACATTGGCCTTGTCTGCATACAGGAGCCCAGTATATGTTAGAAATTCAGATGGTTAAATTTATTTTTATGGAATATAATGTTTTAACTTCCAATGCAAATAGTTTGTCTCCCCAACATTATGACAGTTTTGTAATGAATAAATGATATTCAAATTAAATCTGAAACACTATAGAAATAAACAAATGAGATCATTTATTCGCCTCTAGTTACACGTGACAATTACAACAACTGAGGGTCAAGGCCATGCTTGTATTTTATTTTTTATTTCGCATTTTACGTATTCATAATTAACATTTTTATTTGCATTTTGGCATTTTTTTGTTGATTTTACAATTAAAATCCATATCAAACTTAAATACATAAGTAAAAATAAAAATTTCAAATCAAAATGAAATTTTGTTGCTTCATTTTTTCTGTTATTTCAGAAAATGATTTATATTTGAAAACTTACTTTTATTTTTCAAAATATATTTACATTTGTTATTTCACTTTATTTTCACTTTAAAAATGAATTTAAGATTGCATTTTCACTTCAGTTTTGAAAATAATTATAGTTTTTCATTTTGATTTTTAAAATGGTTTTGATTTCTTTTGCACTTTGCTCCTTGATCTCTGACCTTCGACCTTAACTACTTGGCCAATCAATGACAAGTTATCATTTCAACAAAGCTGTAAAGTGTAACACATGCGTTGGAAGGGTGTTAGGACGTCATTGGTAACAGAGATATAAACACATTTTTTAAAAACTAAACAACTTCTTTCCCCGGAAAGAAAATATTCCAATTAAAACCCATCTCAAACTATTTGATAGTATTTTTACCTTCCATGATCATAGAGAAATTTGAACTGATGATTGTTGTCTACAGTCGAAAGATATCTTTACAACCACACTCACAATGGAGAAGCTTCACATCAAATCTTGCAAATACAGTCTATATGTAAACTATCAATCTATGATGACAATAAAGGGGTCAACCATAAAAACAAATTGCACACCTACAGAATGTTAAAAAAAGATTACACATACCTGTCTATAATTGAACATACAAACCCCGGGTCAGCCTTTACACAGATTATGTGCCCATACGCTACAAAATTCAAAATGTATGTAATTTGTGGTAGAAAGTTATATAAAAATGAAGAAATCAAATATTTATTTAAAGAGAGAAATATAACTTTGCTAAACACTACAGATGATAAAAATAAGATAGCAATGTTGAATAATACTGACCGATCATTTTGACGTCACAGAAAAGTTCTATCACTAGAGGGCGGTATTTATAAGAACGGCGTTTTGTATTTGTTTTCATACATGTATGTAGTGGAACCAAATACAGTACATCTACGACTCTTTCAAAACACAAATTACAACGACTTTCACTGTCCCAAATTTTAAATAATTATCAAATGTGACTTTTTTAAAAATATAAATATTCATAAATATGACCAGGGGTAATGTACCATTTATATGACCATAATGTCTTAAATTTGTATCACGCCATGATTGTGGTCACAGTTGGAGCAACCAAACACCAATATTGAGCAGACAAAAATAAAAAATCGAAAGTATTGACGACATGTGTTTCACAAAAGCAAAAGAAATTGCGCCCTCTATCCTGCGTACAGTGAGCCGGGCAGAGAGAGTGGCCTGTTTTACTTTTTTTAGCTACCTGTATTTGCTGTTTGTTTTTTTTATTTAACGTACTTGTTACCACGAATTTTTTTGTCGTCAAATACAGTCTAAATGACTATCCACTTGCGCCTCAAAACTCTTCCCCGAAATCTATAAATTGATTACGCACTCCCAGTGCAGGTTATCGACCTTGTGATATGTCGTCATACTTGTAAAATACTACACAGAAGCCAACTGTTGACTACTGACATCATACCTCTCTTCGCGAGGTATGACGCAAGACGTTGTCACGTACACGCATGTGAAGATAGACTAGTCACAGTGACAGTTCAATAATATTTCTAAATTTTTAATTTTTGTAATATTATTTAACATTTTAAAGGACATTGCAGCACCATAGAGTTGTTTTTGTTATGGCGGCGTCGGTACTTTGATATAAAATTTAATACTCCTATAACTTGTAATTTTTCTTTTGCTGTCGTGAGGCGCGGTCAGGAGGTCATGTCGATAGGCCATAGCGTCACCGTAATAAACAAGATCGTCAATATTAATCAGTGTCAATGCCCCGTTCTCTGTAATAAAAAAACAACGCATCCAATTATTAATTATTTCTATCACAAGTTATTTTTCATAAGATCGTCATAAAAGGGTCAATTAATAAAGTACAAGAGTGACATAAAATCAGCTCACCCTTATTTATGAATTTAAATACATTTCTTATTCCCTTTGCAATTTCGTATTTGTAGGAAGTCTATTTAAAATTCTTGCCTAGTTGTCGACATTGTAAATAATCAACTCCAAGGTAAAGACAACAAATGTAATCTTTCTTGGAATGTAAAACGTGACTTCAATTTTGAACGTATGTCGTAAATATTTTTGTTGTTTTCGCTTTTCTACTAGACCTCGATATGTTTTCAGGGGTGTCCACGCTCTCCTTGGTGTAACTATAGTAAACAGCAAGAAGTCAACAACTTCTTTCAGGTGATCCCGTATGAGCTCATGCACAACTTCAGCACGTGCGCATGAAGCCATATATGGAACATTGACGTCAGCAAATATGTGTCATGTAATGTGGATTTTGATTGGGTAACATTCAATGCAAGGATATTCCAAAATGTTGTGATTATAATACGCCGAGCCATATTGTTGTGCGTTTCCCTTTTTTATTCAGTAGAGGGAAAGATATCTCCAATATTTTTTTTCAGTTTACTGCCAGATAGTTTAGTATAAATGTGTTTTTCTCCAAAATATCGCGTAACAGTGCGAGGGCGGACTGGTGTTACATGAGCCAATAGGATAACGCCTTACAACTACCTAGCACTTCCTGTCTGTCACGTGACATGTCAATCAAAACCCAAGCGCAGAGGTCAATTTTATGAAATCAACAGCACTGAACTGTGGGTTTTCCATTTACGTTATATTTTCTTCGTATTTTCAAGTGAAAAGCATCAATGTAACACAGTCCGAAGTAGCGATCCACATCAATGTGCAGTTTCAGTTTATAGAATACATAAGAGCAATATATGTAAGTATTTTATTACTTTTATCGCGGTCGACCGAAAACGCCGGTGACTTGACAACTACCGGAAAACCCTGTCCGACCGATCGACGTTGTTTTCCATGTTTGAAAGTTCAGCTGTCAAGACTGGACTTGTTTCTATATTTCCTTATCTAGGCTGTTTATACTGATCTAGTAATGCCTTTTGCTGATTACTACTTTGTACTGAATAATACAACTATCTGCAATTCGTTACTATTTCATATAAAATTCGTTTCGTTCAAAGAAACGCGTACTACACTACTGTTTTGCACTTTGCTCGATTTCGGAGTCTTGTGTAATCGGGATCGAAGTTTCATTATTTGAGCAGCAAATGAACTTATCGATCGAATGTGAAATTCCGCCACATAGTTTATAGTTTTACGCTATGTACATTCTATTTCTAGATAGTTCAAATTATGAAAAAAAAATGAATATTTTTATGATTGAATCAGCTGTGTAAGAACTGTTTTTGCAATCAGCAATTTGGCTTCGTTTTTCGTTGGTTGTCTTTCCGTGTTGCAACCGGAAGTTCCGTCTCTTTTAACTATTTGACGAACACAATCGCCCGTATTTTCCTTGTACGATGAGTTAAAAAAAAAAACAACGTTTTTTTTCCTGGAAATAACGGTGATGCCAAAAAAGTGGTTCGAGATCTACATTTGAATGAGGACAAGGTCAAACATGGCGATTCATTCTCAGTAGAGCTTTGTTAAAAGGTCACTCTGCCAAGGAGACCACTACCGTTGATGCCAAACTATATACGGAACTATATACTAGTATACCACGACGTTTTTTTTTTGTAGCACAACGTTATTAACCTTTTTTTGTGATTTCAAGTAAACATGTTTCTCCGAAAACCATATCATATCGTACCGTGTCCGAGATTACCTTGGACGATTCGAGGGACTTTCTTTAAGTGGCCTTGAATACATAATTAGTTAGAAAAGTGAGGCACCGACCAGTGGAGTAAACAACTCCTACTATATGCTGACGTTGTGTTGTTTGACTCTGAATTGGACTGCTGGCAATTCGATGCCTTTTGAGATGTGGTTTATGTAAATAAAAGTGATTTTTTTTCGTTGCATGCATCCACAGTGTTGAAAAAGAAAAAAAATCAAAAACATAACTTTTAATAGTTAAAATAATAAGTGTTCTGTTTTTTATTATCGCAGACTAAATTGTTTTATTTTAATGGACTTTGTTTTGAGTGTATCTAATATATTCTTCTGATTGTTAATTTTATATTATATTGTAGTGGTGTTTTTGCAGGTTTTATTTAGATATAGATCACTGATTTGGTATCCCTACTCATTTTTATTATCTTTATGTTAATCACTAACTTTTTTCCAGCTCCTAAATCATGCATAATCTGTCAAATTTTTTTTTGTTGCTTTGAAAATCAAAGTGTTATAATTTGCCATTTCAACTACAATTGACAATTTTTGTAACCCCTCCCTCTCACCCCACCTCTGTCAACCTCAATTTCATCACCATACGTTCTTCAACCCTTATAACTCCATTGCATGATTTAACTTGCAGTAACCTGGAATTTTTTTTGGTCAAAATTTCCTTGCAAAATTTTCATGAAAATCTTTGAAATATGCCATTTTATCAAGAGTAAACAGTGTTATTTGCAGCCATTGGGACCTTTGTACCATAGTGTAGTCATCACTGCTTAAGTCTATAGGTTATCAGTGTAGGTATTTTTATCATATTTTAATACGAGGTGTAGTCGCATTGTAGGTGTTAACCCTTTGCAGTGCCTCACCAGCATCACATTAACTCCAGCCACTAGTCATTGCAAGTGTCCGTGCTGTGACTCATTCCAGCAGTCGATGTGGATCACTCAATAACTTTGCTTCTCCTTATTCTCTCCACTAGACTTATGCTGGCCAAAGGAATTAAAAGAAAATATCATGACTTGGAAGAGGAGCCGAAGAAAGGAGTGGCGAATATGTACTGTGAACAGCGCCAGTCCTTTCTCAATATCTCACTGGTCAAACTGCGCACTTGTCACAATGTTACTGAGCCGTGCTTGCTGCGATCAGTGCTCATCTGTAACACTCTGAAGCAGATTGAAAACGAGATTGCAACGGAAAACCATAGGAGACAGCCATGTGACAATGTCGGGGTGGAGAAGAAACTTAGCAGGCCATGTGTTGTGAGCAGTGAAGAGAATGAACGGTGCAAATCTGTGGCAGGAATGACTACATTGGAGGTTGCCATGGAGACAGAAGAGGGTGCACAGGTTATCTGCGGGACAGGGGATCAAATCGAGGGGCGAACTTTGCAAAATAGGGTTGCTTGCAACGAAATTAAAAAACACTGCACCACTGATATTTCTATGAGCTTGCTAGAAGCATGTGAGGAAGAGTTCAGTGATATCGACGTATCCCTCTATGACTTTGATTTATTCATGCCTCTTTCTCCAAAGAGTACTGAAGATGTATGGAAGCCGTTTTGTTTTGAAAAGAGCATAGCAGATAGTTTATCATCTCCGTGTCGAACTGATGTTGCAGATGAACTTGATCAGATCATGAACACTCTTATTGAAGTGGGTATGTAACTTGAGATCTTCCAAAAATGTCGATACTATTGTGAAGTCTCTTCCAGTATATTAACATGAAGGTTGTTTAGAGGTCAAACAGCTAAATTTTGACCTTCTTTTATTCGGCATACTTTTGAGAGTTCATTATGCAATGGTGACTTTTTAAGTCCAAGTTGAATTCTCATTAAATTTTTTAAAATAATGGTTTATATCAAAAACATTAGAGACTGTTTTTTTCCTTTCTTTCATATGTTCTTAATGAAAGTTGGAAATAACCTAATGTGTATTTATGGAAATTGGGTATTGCAAAAAAATGTCAATAATCAAAACATCCTCTGATGCAGGATCTGTACATTCTCTTTTCTTTTCAAAAACAGGAAAATAATATATTTTAATTTGACAGTGCAATTGATGAATTGTGCAGATTTACATAGCTGTTGTCTTAAAAGAATATTTATTATGTACATCCATCACATAGGGCTTTGCCATGACTGCTAATTATGAAATTATATCCCGCAGTATGCAAAATAAATAGTAATTACTCAGATGGCAATAGGGTGAAACCATTTTCATAAAGGGGCAATGCCCCCCTTATTTATAAACTAAATCACATCTCCTGAGATCTGTGATTCCCCACCTCATTGTTGATATCTTAAATATAATAAATTATTTTCAAACAAAATTGTTTTATGCCGCTCTATTATAACATGGAGGTATACTTATAATATGCAAGTGTATATTGTGTTGTTCCTTTATGGAAATGGTACCCCTAGAGTTTATGATGGCTACCAATTGCAATCACCATTTTAGTGCAGCTTCAATTGAATTTGTTTTTTTTTACAGATTTTGTTTTTTTATAAGATCTAAATTACTGTCTCTCTGTTGTATCTTTTTCTTATTTATAAAAAAGATAATGACAAGCTTTTGATCGAGAATTATTTATTTGAACAAATATATGCCTGACCTGTGTAGTATTTTCCAGTTGAGACAAAACTGTCAGGGAGTGAGGTGAAATGGAGATGATAAAATGTATATTGTTTATGTATGTATGTAACTATGTACAATCACGCTAATAAAGCTGCCTATTTGTACATGTGTATGCTATAAATTGTAAAGAAAACACAGGCTGGCTAAATACTGTCAAACAGTAGCTTGTATTAAATTAACCGATTATTTGTCAGGTTTTACTAAAATGTAAATGAATTTTGAATATCTCTTTTTTTTATTTTCACTGTATATTATATAACGTACACACACATTCTGTCTTCTTTTAATAGTTCTCTGTTAAACTTTTCTATTCATTTCTTTTACCTGTGATTTTCTCTTGTATATTTTTTTTTTATTCATAACCCAGTATTACCAAAGATGGTTTTGTTTAATTCTTTCTACTCTTAAAGTTATAATATTAATTTGAGTTGGATTTGTTGCTGGTCGGTCAACACGGTCGAACACGCACTGATGCTTGAAAATACAGTGAAACTGTTCCCTGAAATATACATGTTCATGTAATCACAATTTTTTTTTCATTCAGGAAACTGATTTTCATCCGTCTTGTTTTTGAGGGTAAAAACTGAAGCAATTGTTTACATCATTTTTAAGCCAAACATTTTTATCAGTTTTTATACATGTATCTGAAAACAAAGCTTTATCTTTGATAGTCTTTGCAATAGCCAATCAGGCTTTATCTTTGATAGTCTTTGCAATAGCCAATCAGGCTTTATCTTTGATAGTCTTTGCAATAGCCAATCAGACTATTATGCAGTGAACAGGTTGAGACAGAAAAGCTTGCCAGTTGTCTTGGACATTGGACTTTTTGTATGTTTATTATATCATGCTTTTAAATCGCAAGTCTCATCCATCATTGCGCAGACATTCGGTGTCTTTGTGCAGTGGTATAATTGATAGTTCAGCAAAGCAACCACTTACTACATGACTACAGGTCATATATATCTAATATTACAATTTGTAAGTTCATTTTATACAGTGCTTGTAAATTTTATGTACAAAAGTGACAAATACAAGCTATATATATAAAATAAAAATGTTGTCTGTTTTTTTTTATATTAATAATGCATGTCTATTGGGAAGAAGGTATTTTATGTGTTTATTGCTGCAAGCATGGGACACTTGTTCGATAGTGTTACTGTATATGTAACATTATCCTGTTGCAGACGTTAAAGTAGGTCACAGGTCATCTGGTATGCATAAAGCATGTTCATAAAAAAAAAATATGGAAATTTCTAAATTCTGTCTTGTCTGGTGTTTATTAAAGTATGTGAAATTGCACAATGCAATGTACTTGAAGATATTGTAATTAATACACTGACGACAGATGTAATAATCCATTGCTTGTTTAGCAAGATGTAACTGGAACCCTAAATATGTTGTATAATCCAGTACCATCTTATAAAAATCATGTAGTTTGAAAAAAGATACTTTTACATATGTCACCACTCTGATGACATCATTTATGCAGGACGTAGATCTAGTGGTGGTGCATCACAAGGAGTGATTTGAAGTCTTAAATCCAGCATGATAATTCTCAAAATATCCTGTAATACTGGTCAGAATAGATGTTACCTTGTCATTGAAAACTCCTATGCCTAAGTACTATGTCCTTTACTGAAAAATAAATGTAGTTTATAGTTACTACCGGTAATGCATATGTGGTGCCAATTGCTTTCTTTTTCAACTTATAGAATGCATGTACTATTGGTTGAACATATTTAAATATTGGATTTATAACCCCAGTATTGATTAGCTGTGAATTTTAAAAAAATTACTGAAATTAAATTCCAGTAACTTTTTTGCCATCAAATCAAATATTAAAGCGGACTAAGTAGTAATAATAATTGTATTTTCACCCGGCCGAATCACAGATACAATTTCTTCAAGGTCGTATAATAAATTCAGTCTACACACGTATCTGTGGGGACTTAATATTTCAAGTTCTACCATAGACCTCCAATACTGAAGAGTCTATGGTTCTACACACTTAATATTTCAATAACTCGGTGTGTTATGGGACTTTACATAGTTCTGAAACCGTTTAACCAATACATAAAAAAAAATTGAAATTTCACATTTTGGATGAATCTAATTGTAGTTATACTTTCACACTTTGGGAAGTGAGTCAGTTTGTTTCGATTTCCCTGTAGTAGATGACCTTTGACATCAGGCAGCATATCTCAATGATGGTGTCATGTAAATTAATCGCATGATTCAATATGGAGGCTTTATGATTTAGCCCCATAGTTTATCCCCAGCATGTATTAGATGGGGTGATGGGGGCTGGAAAATTGAAGCATCACAAATACAGAATGCTGAATATCTACCAGTATGACTGGGCTGACCAAAGTCAGTAGTGGTGTGTGTGTGTGTGTTAGGGGTCCTTAATTTTATAAACCTCATTTTGTGTGTGGGTGCTTCATAGAAGACCTTATTTTAATTGTTTTTCGTGTTTTCACCACAAATCTGAATAAAAGATGCAGTTTACCTGACAGGTATTTTAATTAGTTAATTAGGAAACCAAGATGACCTCCCTTGTCCACAAAACTATATATTTTCGGAAAGCTTATTGTATGAATTTAAAAATTTTATTTTAAAAATTTAAAATTTTTTTTATGAACACTGTAGTTTGAAATATGCACAAAAATGTGCTTTTTTGGTCAAAAATGATTTAAAAAAAATTAGCCTCTAAACCATGCTTGTTTCCTGACAAAATTGGTTTATGGGTACATGTTTACCTATGAAGAAAGTGCCGTCTTGAAAACTGTCTACCAGCTCAAATTTCACTACTTCAAGTTTAAGCATAAATTAACACCCAGGCTAGTTGTCTGTACGATTGTTGTAACACAACCAAAAACAATGGCCCCACAGCGTTTTGAAGATAAACACATTGTCAATCATTTGTGAAAATTTCAAAACAAAAGGTCAAAGCTTCTAGGAGCTATTTTTTTTAAAGTTCTTGGATCTGCACTAAAAAGAAGCTGAGATAATTGCTAATTTGCATAACAATTCACTCAGGAAGAAGTTTGCTAATGCTCATAATTAAAATGGCTGTAACAGTTCAAAATTTAAATGTATTATCGTTTTGTTAAAAGTTAAATATAGTGCACAGTATGGAGATCCAGTCATTTCTTTTTTTCACCATGTTTCTTTTTTATTATTTATGTACAGCCTTGCTAAATCTTGCTAAGCATTCAAAAGAGAAAATGTTTGCACCTGTTATCGATATTTTAAAATCGTTTTTTGAGTATGTTTCACTATTCACAATTCTACAAAATTTTAACAGTCTATAGCCAAGATAATAAAAAGCAAAAAAAAAAAAAAAAAATCACTCCCAAGTGCTAACGAATCTGCATCTCTACCTTAATGTGAACACGATTGTACTTCAGATTTCATTTTCATCCTGATTTGTAGGCACTCGTGGATACCTGGGTATAGTTTCCAAAGGGTAGTAAGAACTGGTGTAATATTAGTGAGAAATTTGACTAAGAATCTGAGGAACTATGTTTTTTTGTTTTTTTAAATAACCAAATTATAATTTGTTAAGTTGCACAAAATGAGAAACTGGTAAAAATGGGCATATGAATGTTTTTGTTCATTACTCGTGAAGGTAACTTTTTCTGTGCCTTTTAAGACACTGCTTTAAACACTTAATGTTGACAACTGTGTCAACAGATTTGTTTGTTTTTAGCTTCTATGAGAATCTCATTATCAACTGGGCGCAGCTCACAAAATGTGAAGTCCTACAGTTGTCTGAGAATAGCCTGCATTCACACCTTGAGCAATGGTCACTAATGGATAACACATTTGAAATCCAGGGTGGAGGATTTGAGAAATTTGATATGGCCTGAAACTGAAATTAAGAAAAAAATCCACAGGCTCAAAGAAATGAAAAAAAATGGCATCCATAAGACATTTTAACATCCATACAGAATTAAAAAAAAGCTAAACCCTTTTATTACAAAAACTTGCTCCCATGTTCCCTGCAATTAAATAATCTCCTCTGGCTC